TAGAAGACCTCCAAGGTCTCCTCCAGATTCTATTCTATTCTATTCTATTCTATTCTATTCTATTCTATTCTATTCTATATGCACAGAGGTACAGTACTTGATGCTTTCCATTACTGTATTGATTACAGGAAAAACCCCAGGTTCCTGTAATATGTTTCAGTAGGTCTTGCAAAGTTGGAATTTATACAAGCTTTGATTCCGATAATTCTTTATTTATACAGGCTTTGATTCCGATAATTCTTCAGGAGAATTTTCAGAAGCAGTTCACAAAGTTGATGTGGATGATCACCAGAGTCACGGGACTGGAAAGCACAATGGCGATGGGCCAGTACAAGAGAATGGAATCAAGAAACACAGGTATTTTCTCTGGAACTGACTAAGCGGTACTCACATTAGTAAAATAATTCCTTTGGTTGGGATTTTTTACTAAGAAGAATTTGTTTTGAGAGTGGGCAGTGTGTAGACTTCATGCCTGTGTACGAAGAACTATTTTTTTTTTTGCTTTTTAATTCTTTTAATCCTTAAAAATCATCAGAATGATATATAAACTACAGTGAGTGAAACGGGGGGCAATTCAGGAGGCTTTTCCAACGGCAGTTGTTGATTTTGAAGTTCATTGCCAAAATGGGAAGTGGGAATGCCACACTTGGACAATCATGTTCCACAAGCAAACTGAAAAATACAGTGGTACCTCAGTACCCATTGGTAATTCATTCTGGAAGACGGGATGAATTCTAAAACCGACCAGTACCTAGAAAATCATGAGACTTACCACGTGACCCACTATTTCAGCTGGAAGAAATAGCAAGTTACGGGTCACTGAATTCAATGAGTTTTGAAGCCGTCGAGTGCCGAGGTATGACTGTAAGTCCTTCATCTTCAGGGCTAGGGTTAGGGTTAGGGTTAAATAAAGTATTGATTTTAATTGCTTACTTGTATGAGAGAGATTTTCATTCCAGAATTATCTAGAACAGTGTTTGTCAACTTTGGCAACTTTAAGATGATTGCCTCCAATTCCCAGAATTCTCCAGCTAGCCATGTTGACCGTGGGATTCAGGGGGCTGGAGTCCAGCCATCTTAAATTTGCCAAGGTTGGAAAACATTGATCTAAAAATAATGTTTAACTTTATTTGGTCCTTGTAGGAGGAGTCTTGTTAGATTTGCTCCCATTTAGTTTTTATTCAAAAAATGAGCCAGTTCAGTTCATTAGGTGATTTTACCTTATTGTTTAAGGTTTACTTTGTGTAAAAAAAAAAACCTTACACATCCTTTCCTTGGGATGAATCTCATTGTTCTGAATAGGGTTTGTACCAAATAATATTTACATTTTCAAATTTTAGAAACGGCTATCGTTGTGTGTTAAAAATACACATAGGTTTGCACATGCCACATTCATCAAGGCAGGATAATGCTCATGTATATTCATAATATTGCAAAGATCAAGGCAAGAATCTCGGAAAAAATACCGAAAATATTGCTACAGGTGATTTTATAGTGGTGCCTCTCATTTTAAAGCTGTTCACTTGTATGATTGAAGAAATCCAGAAAACAGCTTTGCAGAATAATATTTTATGGAAAGGTAGGGGACACTAGTATTAATATATTGATTTATTCTTCCCGCAGAACATCCTTACCTGCCCCAATGTTTACTAGGAGTGATTTCAGTGTCTGGAGTATCTTAAAAAAATGCATTGGATTGGTAAGTTACTATGGTATACTAGTATGGTTTGCTTGGCATGTTTGATAAATGTAGTGTGGACGGAGTAATGTAAATACTGGTGAATACATACAGAAGACAAATAAGGTTCCTTTGTTTCCTGATGGCGGGTTGATGATCTGTTACCGTGTTTCTCAACCTCAGCAACTTTAAGATTTCAGCTTCTAGAGTGGCATAGCTGGCTGGGGATTTCTGGGCGTTGAAGTCCATCTTAAAGTTGGCTGAGGTTGAGAAACAGGCTACAATACATTTGAAATATAGTGTGTGTAAAGGCGGATGGGTGCATACGTTGAGCAGAATGGATAGATTGAGAAATAAAAATAACCAAACAGCAACATAGCTAACTGTTCAGAGACTGATATTGAAAAAAAAAAAAGGCAGCATAATGTGTTGTGGCAGCTGAAATAGCATCCCTTTGCATTATGTTTTGTTTGTCTGATGTTTTAAGTAGCAGCAAGCCGTAAGGCAGATCTCTGGAGCTGATGTCTATTAACTGACGGTTGTTTAAAATTTGCTTGTGAAATCACGGTTTTGTATTTTTTTTCCCCCTTCCTACTATTTAGGAGCTGTCAAAAATTACCATGCCCATTGCCTTCAATGAACCCCTGAGCTTCCTTCAGCGAATAACAGAATATATGGAGCACACATACCTCATTAATAAAGCAAACTGTCATTCTAACCCTCTAGAAAGAATGCAGGTAAAATTTCTCCGTATTTTTATGGCCGCACTAAGGCTTTCTCCTCCTTTATACTGGATGCTTAATATCATATAATAAGAATCTTGTAAAGGTAGAGGTGCGTGTGAAGGAAGGGGAGAAAGGGAGGGGGAGGGGGAGAGAAAGAAAGAGGGAGGGAGGGAGAGAGACAGGAAAGAGAGGGAGAGGAGAGAGAGGGAGAGGAGAGAAAGAGAGAAAGAGAAGGAGAGGAAAGAGAGAAAGAAAAGGGGAGAGGAAAGAGAGAGGGAGGGAGGGGGGAGAGAAAGAGGGGAGAGGGAGGGAG